TAGATCACGATGGCGTGACGATGCTACGAAGGAGCGAGACAATGTTGTTTTGAAATGTATAAACATTTCAGACGTGAATATTGAGTAAATCTTCGAGAATCTACACAATATATAAATTGATGTTATGCATTCAATTAAGTGCCGATATTATTTAGACGGTATATATTCATTTTACAGAGCTAGCAAGGAGCTAGGACGTGCAGTGCTTTTTTTCAAGTGTATATATATTATTATTAAACATTTCAGACGTAAATATTGAGTGGAAAATCTTTGAGATTCTAGGCATTCAATTGAGTGCCGATATTATTTTCACGGTATACCCATTATATTCTACGCAATATATAAATGGATGACGTTATGCATTACCGGCGCTCAATTAAGTGCCAGAAGATATATTGTTTAGGCCGTGTATTCATTATACATTGGCTGTATAAATGCTACACCACAGAATAGATGGTTACACTCAGTACAAAGAGGCGAAAGAGCGAAAAATTGCATAAGACAAAGCGTAAACAACTATTAAACAGAAGCGGATGTTTGTATGGCGTTTACGAAGAAAATAACTTGAGTTGTGATCGAGACTAAAAGAAATCAGTTGAGTCTGCAGAGCTCTTTATTTAAACAAGAAATTATATATCCAACGTGTTATCGCCAATCGCTTGGCTTGCCAACAAGCTTTATGCAATAGAAGAAAAAAGCAAGGAGGTAGCCAACGTGTACCGTCACGGACTTACTTTGTGTATAGTTCAAATTCAAAAAGTCTTTTTAATAGATCAAAAGATAAAAATACATATCTTATGTTACAAGTACATATTAAGAATACATTAGTAAAGTTTACATCATATGAATAGGTTATAGTTAAAAATTGATCTATTTGCAAACGACAATTTAAAACGTTCCGTGTTCACTCTTGGATACTGACTAAACTCTGTCCTCAAAGAGTAGCTTGTGGATTTTTTTCTTGGTATCAAGTCGACTATGGCACTCTTCTGATTTACAGAAGCCTTTAAAAATATTTCTGTCTTGTATTTCTAAAAGATATCTAATATTTACAGGTTCTGATATATACTTTCGCTTAAAACATCTGTCAAAAAACCGTTGTAGAGTATTGAGTTCGGCTGGAGAAGAACCGTAGACGGACAGGCCAAACGTTATAGTAGATATTACTAGGGTCTTAAATAGATAATCTATCTCACATTGGCTATAGCCTTCTGCCCTGAGTGTTCGTATAACGTACAAGCATTTGTTTGCTTTGACCAATTTACCTCGCACATGACTGGTGAACTTGAGATTGTCTTGAAAAGTAGTACCCAAAATGGGAAGTTCTTTGCATTGGGGTATATTATAAACATTGTCAAGTTGATCATTATATCCCTTCTTCCGGATGATAAGCTCTTTACATTTACCAGGGTTACAAGTCATAAAATTATCATCAGACCAGCTCAGGAATTGTCCAACTGTATCTGTTGATGTATCAGGACCCTCACTCCAAACTGGCACTATTATATTTGAATCGTCCGCATATTTAAAAAGAGCGTTCTCGCCGTCTATGTCCACCTCTAAATCATTTAGGAAAATATTAAAAAGGTAGGGGCCACTTACGCTCCCCTGTGTTGTACCCTTATTAACATCCATCCATTCTCCACAAAAATCGTTACAAACGACTCTTTGCTTTCTATTCTTTAGAAAATTTAAATACCAATTTATGATATAAGGGTTGAGTGGCACAGTTTTTAACTTTTCCGAGAGGAGTGAATGTTTCACTGAGTCGAAAGCCTTGCTAAAATCCATAGAAAATAGTCTAACTGCTTTGCAGTTCGCTCTATCTAAGAAGCTGAGTACTTTGTTCTGAATAGTTAACAGAGCGTTTGTACAACTCCCCCCCTGCCTGTACGCAAATTGCGTTGGGGATAAAATTTCCTCAACTGTCGACTTGACCTGACTATTATAAACGAGCTTTTCGAAGGTCCTCGCAATTACAGGTGTAATATTTATTCCACGAAAGTCACCATCTTCCTTTGGTAAATCAACCTTTGCAAGAGGGACCTGTTGCATAATCGGGACCTATTGCTGTCCTCTTTATTCTTTTCAAGGCATTCCATACCTGCTGTTCCGTAAAGCTAGGAATATCTACTTCATCACCAATAATTGAGAGCGTCGGTTCGACATAACTATCATCGTGGCAGAGTTCGCCAAAGTAGCGATTTAATCTTGTAAGTGATGCATTATCTAAAGTAACTCTTGATGACGATGCATTTCGCTGAGAAATATCATTCGCCTTTCTCCACCAAGTTCTACTTCCCACCAAGGCCCTAAAATTTCTTCTGTTTTGACAAATGACATCAGAAATCCTTTTGTTAATTAAACTGAGTCTATCCTTTTGCGACCGAGCAATTCTGGATTTAGATTTTAGGAAAGATTTAATTAAAGGACTCATCCAGTAAGGGTCACGTGACGAAATTGAGACTGTTTTTGTGGGCATACATTTATTCATATGATCCATGATCTTACGTTCAAGACAATTCACAGCGTCATTTACATTCGTGGACTGCGATACATCCTCCCAATCTTCTTCTGCTAAAGCTTTGTGGAAATCTTCCTTTCGATGCTTTCTACAATCCCGAAATTCAACCTTTCGGCGCATAGGTTTTAGTTTCGTCCCTGCTGGTAAAATAACCCCCATGTGGTCTGTTTTAGTTAACATGTGGAAAGGATAACATTTTGAGAACAAATCTATTCTATTTGTAAGGCAGTTATCCAGACATGCGTTACCCCTTGTTGAAAAGTCGACCATTGCATCCCATCCTGATAGTTCCTCAAGGTGTTTTATGTCCAAACTGTTCAAATCCCCTCCACAAACAATTACAGTGTCTGGATATTTGTCCAGAACGTCGTCAGAAATATTTATCAAATAATCCAATAAGTCGCTCTCCAGATAATTGTGCCTAGGTGGGTGATAAAGGCCATATATCGACATGCGGTTTCCTGTAGGTAACAGAAGTGTGACACCAATAAGTTCGTACAAACTGGATCGATAAATATCAATAACTTTTAAGTTGTTCCGAACATATATTGCTACCCCTCCTTTTGCTCTCATATCGCGTCCTTCCCAACTTCTATCTCTTCTAAATATTGAATAATTGTGAATGGTCACCACAGCATCTGGCATTTCAGGTTTCAGGTGACTCTCGCTCACCACACATACATCTATATCGTTATTGACCAAGTCTGCCTCCAGTGCAACTACAGCTCGTACTCGATTTTTTGTTTTTGCCAGACTACATATGTTAATAAACATAAACTTAGGAACAGCAAAACCCGACTCTCTCGAAGGAACTTTTCTTGTGGATGTTAAATTAATTGGAATTAATGCCTTGTAATTGGGAACACGTGATGTAACAGGATATTTCTTTTTTCTCGGTTGCGCAATGGTTGGTATCGGTTGTTGTATTGTATAATCATTTTCATGGTTATTGGTTTTTGCACAGATTTGCGCTGAACCAATGTTTCTATTCGTTGTAAAGGAAATGAAGGATGGCGGGGTAACTTGGGTGGATTTGTCACTGTCATGCGAACAAAGTTTAGATATGCTTGCCACTCCTTCATAAAATTCCCAGGTTTTGTCCATGGATAATGAAACCGGGGGGCTTGTTGAAAAGGGCGCGGATAAATATGTTTCTCATTTGCTTGGTTTCTCGCAGTCTGCAAAGAAGCGGGTCTTCTATTATATTTATCGGTATAGTTGCCATTATGTACCTGTTGGTTCTTCCGGTATTTACTATTTCCTCGGATGGTTTTCATTTTAGCGTTTGATGGGACACGGTACGTAATCCTAGTTGGAATAGGTTGGGATTCTTTATGGGTAGGGGGAATAACTTTACTGGACCTGGTCAATCGGTGGTTCGATGGCTCAATGTTTTCATTAGCTTTGGGAGGCATGCATTCTTTAGCTGGTAAGGGCTTACGTTTTGAATTGTTTCCATTGTCGCAGACAACCGCCGGTTGATTATTTAAAGAGGGACTGCAAAATACGGCAGTTTCACTAGAGCCCTCCATGGGGACACATACTTGGTGGTTATTTACTAGGGAGCTGATAGTAGAACCATTAGTTGCGCTAGGGGCTTCGTTTGAGACAGTTGAGGGCAGGTAATATGATAGGGTGTTACTAATAACATCATATAGTGTAGGACCTGTATATGAGTTTGTATGCATTTCATTTAGGACAGATAATCTCAACTGTTTTAGGGTAAGTTGACCATGACGGTCAACATGGTAACGCTGCCCGAACCCCAATCCGGGGTGAAACGCCCGAAACTGACCACACCCAAAAACGACGCTTTCGCCATACTGCTATCTACCAAACCATAAAAGCTTTGGCTATTCTGAGGTGCTTATATGGTTCAGAGATGGTACTCTTGGGGGTGGTCATTGGTAAGTGTGAAATGCCTAGCACTAATACTTCACCGATAAACAGCGGAGTAAAGTGGAGAACTTGGCCAAATACGTCCATTTGCAGGAGGTAGGCACATTTCGAATTATTATTTCGGTCAGAAAATATTAACTATTTTACACCAAACCAGTGATAATATTTTTAAATAAGTACCATTTATGTTTCTATCAAAAAGATTTAGGGAAAAAGGTAATGTAAGTCCACTACTGTTTATCTGAATTTGCAAGCCACAAATTGACGTTTATCTATGATTATTGCATGGCCATTTTCTTGTGAAATATTAGTGCTAGGCATTTCACACTTACCAATGACCACCCCCAAAAGTACCATCTCTGAACCATATAAGCACCTCAGAATAGCCAAAGCTTTTATGGTTTGGTAGATAGCAGTATGGCGAAAGCGTCGTTTTTGGGTGTGGTCATTTTTGGGCGTTTCGCCCCGGATTGGGGTTCGGGCAGCGTTACCATGTTGACCGTCATGGTCAACTTATCCTAAAACAGTTGAGATTATCTGTCCTAAATGATATGCATACAAACTCATATACAGGTCCTACAATCCTGGACAAAAGGTTGTGGACAACCCACAGAATTTGGCCTCGAAAGGCGTTTTCCCTAAATAATTATCCCCCCGCTCCCCCATGCCAATGTTGAATGGGATTTTTCATTAAATACGAAGTGTAGTTAAGTCGGATAAGCAACATTGAAGAGTGGGAGTGGGGGATATGCAAGTAAATTTAAGTTTTAGGTGTTTGTTATGATTTTTGCAAAAGTGGATTAAGTGTCCACATGAATTTTGGCCATGATTGTAGACTAGTAGTGTCTAGCACAACGCCAACAGTGCAAACTCGTGTTCAGTGCAACGATAACTCTACCAGATCCTACGAGAATCAATCTGTACACAGAGCCGTATCAAAGCTTGTTAAAACTGCTATAAACACTGCTATAACTGTGAAACTATTAAAATCTAAAGTGACATTATTGAATACATGCGAAAAGCTGAAAATGACTCATAATGCGTTTTATGTAATACCTTATTAAATTCTAATCGTTTAATTGGCTGTTTATGGTCACGTGATATTGAATAGAAAATTCCATTTCCCAAGAGTGCAATGGAACACGTTCCATTGCACTCTCCGTAAGTGCAATGGAATAAAACGTATAGTACAATTGCACTCTTTGTGTTTTCGATAAATCGCATCCCTCAAAATGCTTCTCATACGAATCTATTAGTCTATTTTGGTATTACATAAAACAAATAATGAATGTTTCTTCGTGCAATGGTAAGAATATTTTCGTTCGGTGAAAGTGGAATGTTTCATTCAACTCGGCTGTCACCTCGTTGAATGGAACATTCCATCTTTCACCTCATGAAAATATTCTTACCATTGCACGAAGAAACATTCATTATTTGTATAATGTTACATTGCCATTGGGAATATAAAGTCAAAGGTCAATCAGACTTGTTATTGTGAAACATGTCACAATTAGGGGCCGATTACATGGGCAATTTGAACCCGGGCTGAGTTTTAGTCAGAGCTATATTTATCCTTGTAGTAAACAAACCCGTGCTGAAATGTCATCCCGGGCTGAAATCATACGATAGATATCACGAAAGGCAATATTCCGCTTGTTTGAGCATTTAAAACGCCGATAAGTCGACTATTTGACTTGTGTAAGACTGTGGTTCAGTGCATATAAAGCATTAAAGATGAGACGAAACGCGAAATAAAGCCATTTAAACGATTGTTTTTTTATTTGCGATTGAAATTATTTGCGATTTCATCCCGGTTGACAGGGCTGAAAATCTCATCCCGGTGACATAAACCCAGTTGAAATTTTTTCCATGTAATCGTTAAATTCATTTTATATTGAATTTTTAGGGGCCCCGGGCTGAAAACGTCCATGTAATCGCCCCCTTAGATCAGTGGTCGCAATTAGGTTAGCCGGGAAGCGGATGGAGCGGATCCACGGAACGGATATGGGGATAAAATATAGAACGGATGGGGATAAAATGCGTTCTTTTAATGATACAACGTCGTAGTGCTTATTATTCATAACATATCTTATACAGCTATTTGGGTGATGGAAATAATCATATTAGATAAGTTCAGCGTATCAGTAGCCTCGTTAGGATGCTTTTAGCGACAGCTGCAAATGCAAATGAAGTTTTAGAATATGCAAAATTTGGGTGTTGATGAAACAATTTAAATTTCGAGTTGTCGCGTGTAGCATCACAATTTATAAAATAACATGTATATAACGCGTGTTCTGATTGGTCGAAACCCGTGTTTGGATCAGGCCATCCAAACACGGAGACTATCGTGTTGTTGTTATTTTATTTATACAATTACTTTATGGTTTCCGTATTTGGATGGCCTGATCCAAACACTTGGGAATGTTGCTCGAGTTAAGAAAAGCGAGCAAAATCACTCGCCTTCGGCTCGTGTTTCGCTCGCTTTTCTTAACTCTCGCAACATTCCCGCGTGTTTGGATCAGGCCATCCAAACACGGAAACCATAAAGTAATTGTATAAAATAAATAAATAAATTGTATCAGTTCCACGAGGCACGTTTCTAATCTGTTAGGCTTGTTTCAAACGTGGCGCTACTCATGTTTGAATGAGTGGAATGCATATTTAGTGCTAGCTCGACTGAACCAGGCGAACCAAAACCGGCTAAACGTGATTGGAACAAACTAGCAAAAGAAAATTTGTCTTGCAAAAGTCTTTGCGATCTTGTTGAAGAAACAAAAGCTGAATTAACGCAAAATAATCTGTACCCCGAAGAATTTGTCAAAGAAATAAAAGATTCTCCGCAATTTACATGTTCCGAGAAGGATGATTTGTACAAAGAAATTATCAAACTGTTAAAGATTATGCTAAAGAAAGGCAACGCAGAAAAGTACTATAAAACGTTCTACAGTTCTCTCATGTTGCGAGCACAATCTCTGCTAAAACATACATATAGGGACGATATTAGTAAAGTTCTGATGATGTATATTGTAGACAAAATCCTGTCTGTTGTCAAAAAGTCTCTTCAGAATCAGTTCAACAGGACATCCATACATGTCCAATACTGTCGACATGATACGGATCGTGGAGCAGCTTCACGATCCGTCAAATTCGTACGGACGGTAAACACGAGTCACGATCCGTATCAACTCGTAAACGCAATAGGTGGTCTCCAATAGCAGATGCTTGTTGCCCAGATCTACCAACAGTTCGACGGATCGTACCGTTCGTACGGCTCGTAACACGATTCACAATCCGACAAATCCGTACGGTCCGTACGAACTGTGAAATGGCTTTACTGACCGTACGAAGCGTACGGTTCGTGAAAATGATTTACTGATCGTGAACCTATAATAACTTCAAACATTATAATATGCTGTTTGCAGTTTATCAATATAATATGTTGTTGCTCCGTTCTTACGAAACCACGCATATACTATATCAATATAATGTTGTTTCTCCGTCCTTAAAAGAACACGCAATATATCAATATCAGTAAAATTGTTGCTCTGTTCTTAAGAAACCACGCAAACAATATCAATAATATATATTGTTGCTCCCTTCTTAAAGAAACCATGCCATTTACCTGTACAATATGTTGTTGCTCCGTTCTTAAGAAACCACGCAATATATCAATATAATATGTTGTTGCTCCGTTCTTAACAAACTACGCAATTTATCAGTATAATATGTTGTTGTTCCGTTCTTAAGAAACCACGCAATATATAAATATAATATATTGTTGCTCCGTTCTTAAAGAAACCGCGCAATTTATCAGTATAATAGGCTGTTGCTCCGTTCTTAAGAAACCACGCAATATATCAATATAATATGTTGTTGCTCCGTTTTTACGAAACCACGCAATATATCAATATAATATGTTGTTGCTCCGTTCTTAAAAAAACCATGCAATATACAGGGTGTATCACAATACCTGCAAACACTATATAATTTGCATAATTCTACTGCTTACTAGCATTTCAATGCACAGGGTGAGTAAAAAAACTGACACCTTTGTTATTCAAATTAGCCGCATTCAAAGGTATCAGGTTTTTTTACTCACCCTGTATGTGCTATTTATTTTGCTCCTGCGTGAGATTTGAACTGCCCATCTAACTTAATTAACCGCGTTGATAGAAATTACTATACGTATACACTTGGGGTTGAAA